CAGACTCCAGCTTTTCATTATTTCCCATGACTGTAGGGAGTATGATTTCCTAATGGAAAAAGGAAATCAAAGCAACAAACTTCCTGTATTCTGGGTGAAAACTAAATCCTTGTGTGTCTGTGTGTATTTAGAGAGGTGTGGTATGTACATATATACACATGCACACACATTATATATATTTATATTATACTACATATATTATACTACATATATATGTATATATATGAAGTCTAAATCTTTTTTAAACAGGTGTGCTTAGGGGACACTTTGGAAAGAGTCACTTTGGTGCTCAGTGTCCATGGAAGTATTTAAAAATGTGCACAGGGTTAGAAGAGGGAGCAATAATACTAAATTACTAAAAACCATGGTTAAGAAATTAGCTAACAGAAGGACTTTATAAATATTGGGATTAGGAGTAGTTTATCTGAAGAATTCATTCTGTGAGTAACTGCTGTGTGTCTAGTTAAGCTAAGACTAATATGGGAAGAGAGCTTAAAAGTCCAAGTATCTGGTCCTCCTCCTTCCACTTGTAAGTTTTGGTAATGTGATACAGAAGGTAGCAGATCTGAATTTTAATTTTCCTGCATGATTTGTTGTGTCCACCTGAAAACATTACACAAATATTAACATTATGGATAGAAGAAGGCATGGACTAATAGATTTGACAATGTGTATTAAAGAGTGAAAGAAACAAAAATTTTGAATTAATCTCAGTTGACTTAACAATGATGAAAATTTTAAGGGAAAATTAGTCAAAATGCACACTGCAGCTCTACCATTAAATGCATAGCTGAATCCTTACCTCAACTAGCAAAATTCCCTGGTCCTCCTTATTAATGTTTATACTTTCTCTTCAACAAAATTAGAGATAAGGGCAAAACAGTATCTGTTTGGAAGCAGGGAAGGGGTGGGGGCAAGAGGGAGAGGGTGGGGGAAAGGGGGGAGTAATGACCCAATCATTGTATGCACATACGACTAAAGGAAATAAATAAATAAATAAAAATAAATGCATAGCTGTCTTCTCTTGAGTCACTTCTAACATGGGATGATATCTTTTTCTTTTTTCCTATTAGAAAATATGAGTTGTGTGGAATATGGGGGTGTGGCTCTCATTTCAGGGTATGTTCCTAATGTCTTGGTTTCCAATGCTTTCCACTCCTCTCCTATTGCTTATATCCACATGCTACAAATTGCAAAGGCCTTTCCATGTCAGAATCACTATGAGAACCACAGCTATATCTATTGGCAGGCCAGAGCTTCAAAGGTCGCCTTTTTATATAGGCTATGAAATATCTTAAAATCACCAAACACCAAATTTTACAATACACACAGAAAAGAAAAAAATTATTATAAAACCAGTTCCTAAAAATAAAAGATTGCTGGGATGTCTACCCTCAGAAAAGATCTCAGTACCTTTCCTCCTGACAGACTCTAGTTTTTTTTCTTTGTGATTGAACTTATCAGGACAGGGTTCAGGAGGCTGTATAGTTATGTGTCCCTGCAGTGTACACAGGGCTCCAAGTCTGTTAAGTTGCATGCCCATAGACATTACAAATCTTGAATAGAGGCTTTTTGCAAGAATGTCTTACAGAGACTTTCTGTATATCATCCCCCTGATTTTTTTTCCACCAGAGACAATTCTGGGATTGTATCTTGTTTGTCTGTGCTAACAGCATTCTGTTTTCCCATGAGGACAGGTCCCTCTTGCCTGGCCACAGAAAGTCACTCTAGATGGAGATTCAGTCCAGTGTTTATTGTCACCCAAAGATCTTTTAAATGCTTCCTCCTGCTACTTAATCAAAGATTACCTTTCTGAAAATCCGAAGGCCTGACCTACTCAACAGTTAGGTCTGTATCAGACAAATCCTTCTTATTTTCTGAACAATGATGTTTACATCCATAAAATATCTTGTTTGTACAAGAATAGTCTTAGGAATTTTCCAGGCCTGAATTATAGTCTATTCTCAAAACAGGTATCTTCAGGTTATAAGAAATCACGACCAAAAAAGATTGTATTTTCAGTCTAAGAAAACATTAACATACTTGCCATCCCCAGTTTCCTATAAAACTTTTGTCCAGAGTTATAACTATTCTTTTTCTGGTGCTGGTGTTTGAAACCAGGACCTCATGCATGGTAAACAAATACTATGTACCACTGAGCTACACCCCCCAGCCACTGTGGGATAATGCTGTGAAATTACTGGGCACAAAATTCTCTGTTGGATTATTTCTTTAATGTGTCATAATGTTTACTATGTCCCAGGTTTTTTGTTTTGTTTTGTTTTCAAAATATGCTTAGTCTTTTTAAATTTTTTATTATATTATTGTCATACTGGGGGTACATAGTGACATTTACAAAAGTGCTTAGAGTACATCTTAGTTAAATTCACCAACTCCCCAGTTATTGTTCTTTTGTTTGTTTGTTTTTGATAAACATCACAATTTTTTTCATAGTTCTGGAAGTTGGAAAGTTCAACATCAAGGTGCTGAGAGATTTGGTGTTTGGTGAGAGGCTGGCTCTTCAGGTTTGCAAATGGAGTCTTCTTGCCATGTCCTCACTTGGTGGAAGGAACAAATCAACTTCCTCATGTCTCTTTTATAAGGGCACTAATCCCATGCATGAGGGCTCCTCAGTGAGGATCTAGTGACCTCCCAAAGGCCCTATGTCTTAATACTATCACCCTGCAGGTTAGGTTTCTAAACATGAATTCCAGGGAGAACATGAACATTCAGTCATAACAACAATATTAACCAAATGGATATCATCCATACCCTTAAGAAACTACAGCTTAAATGTTAAAATGATAAAAATAAAATTTAAAGGGTAGGAGGGAAAGGGTGTGGGAGGGGGGCAGGGAGTAGAAATGACCCAAACAATGTATGCACATGTGAATAAATGAAAAAAAAAAGAAGAGAAGAACCTGACCTGGTGTGAGCAACAGGTGGCTGGAATGAATATCTTCTGTGTATGGTCCCGTAAAAAAATGGAAAAGCTCAGTCTCTAGAGATACTTTATCTTAACCTAAATGTTTCTGTGTTTTTGAAAAAGGCTTTCACTCTCAGCAATGCATTTTCCATCATAACCTGGTGCACACATACATACACACATGCATATTAGAAATAAAGCTGAATTCCAAGTTTCCAAAAAAAAGAAACTGCACCCTAAGACTCCACCTCACCCCTGTTACAATGGCTATCATGAAGAACACCACTAACAACTAATGCTGGCAAGGATGAGGGAAAAAGGAACCACAACACGTTGCTGCTGGGAATGCAAGCTTGTACAACCACTATGGAAAACATTATGGAGGTTCCTCAAAAAACTAATAAAACAAAATAAATAATTAAAAAGAAAATAAAAATTTAGAATAAATAAACAAAATAAAATAAAGTAGAAACAGAGAAAAAAAGAAACTGGAGCTAAAATGAATGATCCACGATGAGATTCAATCTAAAAAGAGTTGAAGAAGAGAACCATCAAAACACTACAGGACAGAAGTTAAGAAACGAAAAGAGAGAGGGAGGGAGAGAAGGAGGGAGGGAGAGAGGGGGAGAGAGAGGGGAAGAAAGAAAGAAAGAAAGAAAAAGGAAAGAAAGAAAGAAAGATTAATCACAGAAGAATATATGCTGAGTGGAAAATGCACCATGTGAGGAAGGCACTTTTTCTTCTAATAAACAACCTGGGAGAGTGCACAAGGAAGAAAAGAAACTTTGCAAATTACCATTTCTTTTCATGTTGATCAACCCAGGGGTTCTTGCTCACAATATTAAAGGAAATAAAATTAAACCAGAACCAGCTCCCTCAATCTCCTCAGAAATACACACACGGCTCTGAGATGGAAATGTGTCACCCGTCCATCATGTTGCTTCACTTCCACACCTGTCCAGTGATGACTGAGTTAAATGATCAGCAAGGATAGCAGCGTTGCCCAGACTCAGGGGCCCCATACACTCAGGACCATGCACCTTGATCCCAGAGACAGCTTCCAAGAGGAGGGCAGCACTCCCTTCTCTTGTGGCCACATCGCCACACACCCATCAAAAATATACATTGCCATCTTCTGTGAGTCAATTGCACAAAAGTGCTACTTGGCATGCAGATGTTCCAGCATGATACCTACCTATAAGGAATCTGTGACACAGTTGCAGAGAAAAGACCAATGTCGGGGCAGGTATTGCTCTTAATAGTTTCTGAATATTAACTCAGGACCTCATGTAGTGTCAGCATTATCAGATTTATGCTTGTACTTTCATATGGATTCATTACCAAAAGTCTGGAATGTTTAGACATTTTCAAACATCTCACAGGCTTTCTTGCAGAGTGAGTGTACCAGCGAGTATGCTGGGAAAACCCAATCCCAGTCTCCTGATCCTGGGTTTAAAGGATGATGCCTCCTGTACTTCCAGTGCCCTTGTGGAAACTAGAACAAGCAGTCACCCAGCTGATCATGCAAACTTAATTCCTAGTCTGTGCTGTGTATGGGCTGGGAAATCGGGAGTGTGGGGCTATGAGCCAATCTCCACACAATCTTCACACAAGTAGTCCTGAAGTCAATAAGAGGTCTAGTTCCTTTCCTTATACTCCACCGTCAAATTGGCTTGGTATTCAGCATAGTAACTTTCCTCGTGGTCCTCACTGTGGTGGAGATAAAGTAGATAACTCAGCTCCAATCTGGGGCCCATTCCACGCACACCTCCTTCAAGCACCTTTCTGCTCCCCACTTCCTTTTTCCCAGGATCCCTATTGGCAACATTGTTCACCACCAGGTTCTTATCTGCTTGGCCACACCCCATCACTATTGCACGTAAGCAAGCCCCACCCACTGCAACTGGCGGTAAGCAGAAAGTGGACCTGGTCAACACCGAATGTTCACATAAGGTGAACGTACCATAAACTTCTATGACCACTACCAGATTCCAGAACCAGAACTAGCTCTGCCCCCTGTCCACAACCCGCACAGTGCTTGTGGAGGCCACACGGCCTCTGCAGAGTTTCAGCCATGGCAGACTGGTACATCCATTGTGACTCCCACTTCAACTCCCTGGACGTCTACAACATGGAAATGCCAGTTGAACCTGAGCAAGGAGCAGTAACAGCTGGTTCCCACTTTCGTGAAGGAGCTCTAGACCTCATGGAGGACCTGAGGCTCATAAGCGACCTGAACCACGAGAGTGAAGTTATCCAAATAGACCAAGTGAACCACAAAGATGGTGATGAGAACCACAAGAGCCATGGGAGATGCCAGGATCCCGGAGAGGTGCAGCTCCAAGAACCCCTGCCCTTGGCTACTGCAGTTCCACAGCACCCTCGCAGGCGATCACGCGTCTTATTCAAGCTTGCAGCTTGGCAGGTGCAGGAACTGGAAAATGTTTTCAAAAAAATTCAGTACCCTGATGTGCTCACAAGGTAAGTGGCTTCCTCCAGGACACACCCCACCTCCAGGTTTGTGGGCTCATTTCTGGGTGACTTTTCCTTTTCCTGACCTCTTTTTCCGTTGGTGAAAATGCTTCAGCCTGCCTTGACCCTGGGGAGTGAGGAATTTGTCTTGTGGAGTCAAAGGTCAATATACTCGTGCAGTGCTGACTGAAATCAAGTCTTGAAAGTGGTCAGTGGCCTCTAATTTGTTTTCTTTTGTAATTGAAGTATGGTAAAGTGCACACAAACATAAAATTTACTATCTAAACATCTTTTGAAGTGTAGAATTCACCAGTATTAAATATGTCCACTCTATTGTAAGACAGGTTTCCATAAGTCTCTTCATCTTGCCAATCTGACAGTCTACCCATTAAACAACTCCCCTTCCCTCTTTTATCTAGGCCCTGCCAACCACTGGATTTCTTCATTCTGTAAATTTAACTACACAAGGTACCTCATATTTGGGAAATCATGTAGTATTTGTACTTTTATTGCAGTCTTATTTCACTTAGTATTATATTCTTGAGAGTTTTGTACCTATTTTAGAATGTGTTCTAATTTCCATCTTTTTATTATTTGTAAATTTTGAGGTACTGGTTATTGAATCCAGGGCCTCACACATGCTGGGAAAGTGCTCTACTACTTCATCCATGCCTCTAGCCCTTTTGTTTTGTGTGTTGTTTTGGAGATAACGTTTCTCCCACTCTTCCGGACTGGACTCAAATGTGGTGATCCTCCTGCTTCTGTTTCTGGTGTGCCTGGAATTACAAGCACATGCCATCATGTTCGGTTGAATTTCCATACTTTTAAAGGCTGAATAATATTACAGTTCATGTCTGTAGCTTATTTGCTTTTATCACCATCTGAACAGGGACGTCTGGGTTGCTTTTACTTTGTATTCTTGTAAATGGTGCTGCTGTGCACATGGGTGGACAAATATGTCTTCAAGTCCAGATTTTCTCTCCTTTTGGTTCTCTAACCTGAAATGGAATTGGTGGACCACATGGCATTTCCATGTTTAGTGTTTTGAGGAACCTCCAGACTCTTCCATAGTGTCTACAGAATTTGACATTTGCATCCACACTATATGAGTTTTCCAATTTCTCCACAACCCCACCAATATGTATATTTTTATGGTATTGATAGTAGGCATCCTACTTGAGGGTAATCCAATCATTGTGGATTGATTTACTTTTCCCTAGTGATTGATGACATTGACCATCTTTTCATGTTTTTCATGGCCATTTTAATCTACTTTTGGAGAAGTGTCTCTAAGCCTTTGCCCATTTTAAAATGTGTTTAGGATTTTTGGTTACTGATTTGTCACATCTATTTCTGTGACACCTTCTTAGACATATGATTTGCAACTACTTCTCTCATTGTATGCCTACCTTTTCATTCTCTTTGTTAAATTCTTTGACCCATAGAACTTTTCACTTTTGATATAGACCAATTTATCCATTTCATTTACAGTGCCTGTGATGCTGCCTAGATTTGTACACAATTTTAAAATCTTTTTTAGGAGAACGCAGTGCTGTCATGTATTTGCAATACTATAGCATTCTTGTGTGCAAATTTTTTTCAATTTGTTTGCCGTAGATTTTTGCATTTGTTATTATTTTTAAAATAGTGCTTAAAGAGCAGGGTATAATAGTACATGTCTGCAATCCCAGTGGTCTGGAGTCTGAGACATGAGTATTCCAAGTTAGAGGCCAGTTGATCTACAGAACAAGTTTCCAGGACAGCCTAGGATACATAGAGAGACCCTGACTCAAAGAAAAAAGGAAAAAACCCAATATAATAAATAGTGTTTTTAACAATATGTCTATTGAGCAACAAACTGTAACGCATTAGTTAATTTGGGGATGAAGTGAAACCATTTTGAAAGCAAAACTGGTTCTGGGATTTACAGAAAAGCATACTTCAGGAGTTGTGAGAAGATACTATAAATAGAACAAGAATAAAGTGCAAAAATTATATTTCATGTCATCTGTAATGCTATAGATGAACGTTTGTTGTTTTTCTTCTCCATAGAAAAGAACTTTCAAAACTCATTAATGTGACTGAAATCAGAGTGAAGGTCAGTAAATTTGAAACAATCATTTTGTGCAGTTAGCCAATCGAAAGCATAGTTCATAACTTGGACAGTCTTCCCTAAGAATTTTTAAGTTGGTGTGGTTTTATTGTGTTTTATGGTGGCAAATAAGCACTGAAACTTGGATTTTTTGTGGTGAAAAATGCACTCTTTATTCCATTTTTATTCCATCTTTATGGTCTAGCTTATTCATCCTTTCCTATTACTGGAGGGAAAGTGATTTCCTAATTAAAAAGCGAAACAAAACAACAAACCCCTTCTCTAATTTTGTGAGCAAATTAAATATATATGTAACATAAACACAGAAAATTATATATAATACATATGTATATGTGTATATACAATAATTAAAGTTCAACTCTTCTAACATGGATATGCTTTTGGGGTCGCTACAGCATGACCTTGGAAGTCTTCAAATTTCCTCAGCAAAGAGAAGGATGAAAACAGTGTTCAATTTACTAAGTTACTAAGAACCAAGCTTGAGGAATTAACTAACAGAATGAATTTATACATATTGAGATGGGAATAATTCACCCATGGAACGCACTCCTTGAATTACTAATGTGGGCTCATTTAATCTGAAACTGATTTTGAGAAGATAGCATAAAGCTCCACGTGCTTGGTCTTCCTCCTTTCTAAAGGACATTGGCAGTCCTAAATTTTAATTTTCCAGCTTTCTGTGCTGTAGCTGCCTGAAAGCATTGCCCAAAGAGTCACATTATATTTATTGGGAAGATGGCAAGGACTGATATCTTTGAAAATGTGTGTGAAGAGTGAACCAAACAAAAATAATATTGAATTAAACTCAGTTGCTCTAAGAAGGATGAAAAGGTTATGGGGAAATCACACATAGTCAAAATACAAGTTATAGATCTACAATTAAATGCATAAGTGAATCTTCTCTTGAGTCAATTCTAACATAGAAAGATTTCTTTTCCTTTTGGGGGGAGCTATTTTGAAGACATGGGTCTTGTGGAATATGTTTGCAGTCATGGCACTCTTCAAGGACTTTCCACTGCTTCAGACAGTAATGACTAATAGGGAGATAGTTAATGGGATCAAAGAATGACTAATTGAGCCCATAGAAAAGCACAGTGCTGAAAGCCCAAACGAAAAAGCAAAAAAAAGTGCTAGAGGCATCATGGCTCAAGTGGTAGAGTGCCTACTTAGCAAGCGCAAGGCCTTGTGTTCCAGCCCCAGCACCACAAAAAAATTTTTTAGGAAAGAAAGATCAGGGTTACCTCACTGTTCACTTTGCACAGGGTGCATATGTGACTGGGAAGTGGGCTGAAGACCTGGTGGTGATGGGGCATTCTAAACAGCAGTCCAACAAAGCACTGAATGCCGGCATCATGATGCCACAGGCTGTCACAATCAGTCCTGGCTCAGATGGAAGAAGTTGGGAGAAGGAGAGTTGAGCCTATTCCCAGACTGATAAGGCAAAGTAAGAGGAAAAGAAAAACTGAAGGTTTGGTGAGCTGATATTCCCCTTCCTTCAGTTTACCTGTTCTCTTACTGGAGTTCTGAAGAGAACCTCAGCTACAGGAAACAAATGATGGAAAAGCTTATATATTCTCATCTGTTTCTACCCTCTGCACCATGAATTCCCCCCAAGAACCTTACTGCCAGATTTCCCTCTCTTTTGCAAACATAATAGATTGGTTTTAGGAAGTGAATATAGGAAACACAAACCTCATATTAGCCCAGTCCAGCCAGCCACTGGGCACTTTGCTTCTGTTCATGGAGACTTCACCAATAGTAGATTTGAATCCCCCTCTACAGGAGCTGTTCCACTAGCCTTCTCCACACTACATATTCATGTAGAAGGAGGTGTCAGGAAGGGAGAGAGGCCCTTTTTGTCCCTTAAAATTTTCAATTTGAGAATTTCCAAAAGGATTAAATACAATAAAATCTTATTCAGCATGAGGCTGAGAGCATGTTGACAGGATAATAACATCTGACAGGTAATTTTAATATTTGAATATTCATATGTAGCAGATATTAAGGAGCAGTCGATTTTGTGACCTCCTCTCCAACACTGGTGTTGACCCACTTCCCTAACTTCCAGTTCCACGCTTTTGCCTCTAGATAAGGGATGGGTTTTGGATGTCCTGGTTGTGCAGCAAGGGCTAAGGTTCCTTACATACTGAGCAAGCAGTGCTGGCTCAGGACCCTGACAGTATAGCTGAAACAGAGTGACTTTGTCCTGAGACTAAAAAGGTTTGGACTGTGTGATAGGATGGAGAGTGCAGATTTGTCATTGATGACAATGATCTATACCTCTTTTCCTAAATTTTCAGTGGGCTAAGAATTTTCAGAGGTTTAGTTAATTTGGATTATTAATACCAACTTTCCCTAATATTACAGGGTATAATGTCAAAACAGCATTCACATATCCCCTGCCAGACTACCTTGTACTTCTCAAGAGGTTTCAGAAGACCAATCATCACTTAAACACAGCCTTCCATCCAAAATTTCCACATGCTCCTTCCTTTTCATTACTAATTTCATACTGAAAATAAGGTTTACAAACAGAACTGTTCCCCTCTATGTGTTTGAAAATAAGGTTTACAAACAGAACTGTTCCCCTCTATGTGTTTTAAATGAGGCCCACGTGTTTTGACGTCCTTTGCCCCACAATAAGGTTAATGATTCCCTAGTGAGTAGTGGGTAGGAGACACCTGGACTTCTCACTGTCAGCTGTCAGAATGACAGCTTTATCTAGTTACCAGGCATTGAGCTAACATCAAAGACTGGGAACAATTCCTGAGGTATACTTGCATCCAATAACTGGAAGAAACCATTAATGAATATTCAAACTAGGTAGAAGGAAAACCTACTGAGCCTATTCTATAGTTTGGCACATAACTAGTGCTCACTGAGTGTGAGCTGTAGG